CAATGTTCTCATGTTATCAATGAACAGGAACACTTATAGAGGATTCCTGTTCATTGATAACAGGGGACACAGAAAAAGAGATTGAGGACCTTGTGTTCTCAATCTCTTATTCTATTTTAAAAAGGGAAATATCAGGGGTCTGTATAGACCCCTAATATTTCCTTGAAGCCCTTAAAAGTAAAGTAAAAAATAAAAATATTTAATAAAAAAAATAAAAATATAGTATATTAAAAAAATTAATTTAAAAAGGTTTAGAAAAAATAAATAAAAATCAAATATTTTTTTTCTAAAAAAGTTTTGGTTTTGGCCTGACAATTATTTTTTTTTGTTTTCGATCAGAAAATTCCATTTCGGTGCACCGCTATTATAAACAAAACTAACATAAAGGGCTAGGCGTAAAGGTCCTTTACCTGTCAGATCCAAGCAGACGGAATATCCGAGTGTTATCTGAAATTTCCTGCGTTACCTGTAAGAACAATACAAATCACACAGTGAGACATATGTGCAAATCCTGTAAACCAGGGGTAGGTAACTCCAGCTGTGGAGAAACTACAAATCCCATAATGCATCTGCCTCTGGGAGTTATACCTGTGGCTGTCAGAGTCTTGCAATTCTTAATGGGACATGGAGCTGTCACCCCAGCTGGAGGGCCGGAGTTTGCCTACCACTGCTATTAACAGAGCCCTGCATGCAAAGTACAGTACCCACAATAATCAGCCGGAATCCATCTTGTACTGAACTAATTTGATTTCAATAAAGATAATTCTGCTATGGGTTACTGCACTTTGCACCCCATACTTTTTCTATTTGTACAGGGTACCAAGCAGATCGTCTGCAACAATAATAAAACTCATCCTGAAAGCGCTTTTACATTTTCATCTGTAAATATGTTGTTCATTATTTCCTAAAGCTATTTTTTGGATTACCTGTCAGCATTCTTTTTTGTCCTTCACACCATTTTAGTGTTTAGGAGCTACTGGACAACCAGAATCCTTTACACATATAAAATAGCTGCTGGATAACATAATAACTAACTGCCACAATAGCCTCAAGCAATGCATCAGTCCTTCTATTTCTATTCTGCTTCAGAGAACCTAAGATAGCAGAAAGACTTGTTATGCAATTCTATAAAATAGCATCATGTCAAAGTGGAGTTACACGTTCATGTTTTCTGTTAGTCCAGATACTGTAAATAGCCCTGCATTAAGAAACTATTTTAAAGCTCAAACTACCCAAATAGCATATATTTGTTTTGTAAACATGTTGGTAGGTTGATGTCTTTTTAGTGTTTGTAACAGAAGTAATGAGACTCCTCTTGTTTCAACAAAAGCAGAGAGACTACATGGCTCCTAAGGACAGCATGATGTCCAAAATGGAAGAACTCACCAATCCAGACCCTAAGAAGCCTTTATAAGACAGCAAGTAAATCACCCTACGAGCATCTATTTATGAATAAACTATCAGAAAGCAACACTTCTGAACTGCAGTCAGATAAATACTAGGGATGCACCAATACCAGTATCGGTATTGGTGCCGATACTGGGCATTTTCACAAGTACTGGTGAAAATGCACCGATACTAAGCACCGATACAGGCACGTTACATTTTTGAACTGACTTGGCTGCTGTAAAGTCCCGCACTTGCTGTGGACCTCGCAGCAGCCTGCTGTGGACATTGCGGCAGCTGTTTACTGTGCCGGTCCAGCCGCACATCTCCTCCACCTCCTTCCCGCCTGCACAGCCATGGCGAGACCCCGCACAGCATTGGGAAGACCCACACCCACCTGCACAGCCCTGGTGAGACACAAACTCGCCCGCACAGCCCTGGTGAGACCCACACACATCCCTGGTGAGACACTGCATGCAGCTCTGTTGAGACCACACAGCCCTGGTGAGATCCTGCATGCAACCCTGGTGAGACCCTGCTCAGCCATGGCTAGACCCTACACGCAGCCCTGGTGAGCAACAGAGAGTATGTAGCTTCATGTTATTCTGCATTGCTGTATGATGTATTGCTTGGATGTGTTGTCCTCTAAAGCTGGTGGCATTCTGCATTGCTAGATAATGTATTGCTGGGATTTGTAGTCCCTCTAGAGCTTGTTGTCAGTGGCAGAACTACCAGGGTCGCAGAGGTGTTCGGGCCCTGGCGCTCCACCACTTTCCTAAAATCATTAGTCTGGATTGTTTTAGGAAAACGGTCACATGACACATTAACCTCTTGCCGTCCGCCCGTAGTAAAAAAACGGACGGACGGCAATTTTTTTCTGCTCGCGCGCGCCATCTTGAGGGAAAGTATCGGTACTCCTACTCAGTCTTGAAAAATGGTATTGGTGCATCCCTAATAAATACATAATCGATGGATTCTGGGCCCCATGCTGCTAAACAAATAATCTTGTACAGGAACATGCTGATCTTTGTATTTGTTGCATCACAACTAAATATATTTTCATACTCACTGAAAATACTGTAGTGTCTTAGAACTATATGCTCTCTACATACCTCATTAGATCTGAAGCTTCTACCTTGCATGCCATGCTTCCAAAATGCAAGCACACTATCCTGCAAGCAAACTGGAACAAAAGATACATAAATAAAATGAAGACATTTTTTTTTTTTTAAATAATATAATTTCTTACAGTGTCATCCAAAGGCTGTTCTAGAATCTGTTCAGTCATTAGATTTGTGTCAGACATGGCAACACATGCAGAACACGGAGAACGACATATGTAGTGGGCTAGCAAGAGCTGCACACTTGTCAAATGTCATCTTCATCTAACCACACTGTTAACATTTTTACAATACTGATCAAATGTTCCCTAACTGGTTCCCTGACTTGTCTTGCTACATCACTAGAAGAAAAAAAGTTTTTTCCTACTGATCACTTTTAATAGGATAAAATGATCAAACATGGATTGCCAGGTGGGGTGTGGCGGTCCATTGTGAATGGCACCATAGACACGCCCTCCGGCCGCAATGCGATCGGCTGCGCGTGAACGCAAGGCACATTATGCCTGAGGTCCGGTCCTGTCTAAATAGTGCTTGCAGCATTTTGTTCGGACCGGACGGCAGGCATAAAGTGCCTTGCGTTCACGCGCAGCCGATCGCATTGCGGCCGGAGGGCGTGTCTATGGTGCCATTCACAATGGACCGCCACGCCCCCTCCTACCCCACAACATAGTGAGCCGGCCGCAATGCGATGCAGTGTGTTCTGGCCAGAATCGGGCCGGAACACACTGTGTCTAGTGTGAAGGAGGCCTTAAAGACCTATAAACTCCCAAGCCTTTAAAAAACTAAGAACACCATCATGGGAACTTAAAGGAGAACTATGAGGTGAGTGCTTTTCACTCACCTCATAGTTTTAGCGACCTGTGACAATGAGACTGTCACAGGTCGGCTCAGTAGATCGGGAGGTGAGCGAACACATACCGGCGTTCGCTCACCTCTCGATCCTGTCACGGCTCTCTGCCAGGGGAGGGGCTGGATTCCCCCCCTCCGATCCGACAGCGCTGACTGGCGGAACAGACGGGGGAGGGGGCTGGTACAGCTGGCTCTGCCTTTAGATAGGCAGAGCCAGCTGTCAGTCACGCAGCTGGACGGATCCCGGCACAATTGTCGGGATACGCTTCAGCTGCGGCGTCTCAGTATACTACGAGCTACAGCTTGCGGTATACTGAGCCTAGGGTGACGAGAGGACGCTAGTTTGTGTCCTCCCGTTACTCTAAGGAGAACTATGGGGAAAAGACTTAACCCCATAGTTCTCCTTTAAAAGCCCCAGATTACCGGATATATCTAGTTAACTAAACTCAAGCGAGCACTAACTGCCCTAACACTTTAGCTTGTGGCTGTATATCACCTCAGATTCCTAACAAGTGTGCAACACAAGGATACTGTCCCCACTGAATTACAGTGTATATCAAGTGTCAGTCATTAAATATACATGGGATTGAAGACATTTCAGTGATGAACATCCACCTGCCTTAAGCTGACCATACACCTTACAATCATCGCACGACTTTCGTTGTGCGATGGTTGTAAGGTCGTTAAAATTTCGTACAACCGGCCCATCTTGGACAGGTAGATAGTACTTGCAATCATCGCAAGCCCTCCCCGATGCAATGCTGAGTGGGCAGTGTGTGCTTGCGCACACCGGCCCGTGTGGCTTTCATCTTCCGAGCACGCTACCAACCCGCCGAAAATTGTACGATTTTCAGCAGGTTTTCCAGTGTGCTAGGAAGACGAAAGTCGTATATTAGATGCGGTCGCACGCTGCCCATACATCTGCCGATTATCGTACGATCGCGGGATCACCCGCGATTATCGTACGATAATCAGCAGGTGTATGAGCATACAGCAACCGAGTGACAGAAGGGTTAAGCATCATATACATGGGCAGAAAAAAATGCCGCTTTTGGAGGCATTTTGTGCCTCTGAACACAGCTCTATTTTTCCAATGTGTCCTTAAAGATTCATATTTTAGAGCCGTGTGTGTGTTTGTTGTGTGTTATGCGTGTGTAACTTGTGATGAGCGTGTGACCATAAGTTATCTATGGTAAGAGCAAAAAGCAAATTTCCAGAAAGAGAAAAAAGTATTAAGGAATTTGCAAGCAAAAATGATTTACAGGTCTATAGAGAGAGCAGAAAAAAGGTTTGAGACGCTAGTAAGGCTTTAATCATGGCACAATCTCAGTTTGATTACCAATATTTTGGAGAGTTTTTTTTGTTTCATTTTGATCTATAATTTTTGGACTAGTCTCATTTACAAAAAAGAAAAAAAGTAAAACGTAAAACACAGCTTGGCAACCCTGTCACTATCCATTTTGCTCACTTTTCTATATTATCTTGTACACCATTGACCTTTACCTGTTTTTTCCTTTATTTCAATTACAAAATGTATTAGTCAAATAGACTTTAGCATTTAACACAAAATACCTTGCTTACCTATGGATTCGATCTGGAAATCAAAAGTAAGTTCGGAAGATAATTTCCGACTGGATTTTAACCTTCCTTGAAGATTCACTATCTTTATACAACCTGGAGGGAAAACACAAATAAAATGATGCCAGATCTGTAATTATAGCAGGTTTCATATATTATACATAAAACAACAGAGGTAAAGGTAGAGTATCTACTAAGATAGGTTAAAGACCATTTGCACCTTTGCGGGGCATTTAAAAAAAAAACCACATGCCAGCAATGTACACCTTGATGCCGGCATATGCAGATCCTGGATATAAGCACAAAACTTACTTTTTTTTTTTTAGTTGTCCTCTCAGGCTCCACAGGGCTGTTTTGAAATGGCCGCCAGACTGCTGTGTTCAGTGAAAACTACAAAGTAAAGTGTGGAAAAACTAATTTTCACACAATGCTTTGCTTCCCTCGTGCATGCGCCTTCATTAATATTTATAGTGGTACCACCCTCTGGGCAGTGCAGAGTGACCGGGAGATTCTTTCTTTTTTTTTTTTTTACCTATAACTACAGTTGGAGGATTGTTGTAAGCGATTGCAAAAGAGAGCAGTTATATTTTGTCTCCAGTAATCGCTCAGAACAAAATATAATGGATTTCTTTAGCAATCGCAGCAATCCCCCAACTGTAGTCACAGGTAAAAAAAAAATCTACAGGTCACTCTGCATTGTCCCCTGGACAATATGTATATAACGTGATTTACACTGCGCTAAAGCTGATATACCCCCGATGTTCAACTAAATCATTCCAAGTATTCCACAGTGTACTTATTAAACACAATCAAAGTTGCGACAAAACCAGCTGAATGTTAAATATACAAAAGCAATCCAAATATAAGATGGAAACTACAATCCGCATCAGTGCCCCACACAAAAAATCTTTAATTAGGGATGCCCCGAAAGGGCCGCACAGCCTTGGTCACACGCCTCGCACATCTCCGGTGACCCCGCACATCCCGGTGACACCGCATAATATGTTTTTAATTGATCTGTTCTAACAGTAATTGGTAAGAAGGGGGGCACATTGAGGAGCCTGGCCTTGCGGCAGCAGAGAGTAAACCTGGCCCTGGAGAGGGAGATATTTTGTTAAGAGTATTTGCATAGCTTTGTCTTCATGTAATTCAGGTTTTGATTACTTTAAATTCTTCCTTTCCAAAGATAAGAGGTAAAATACAGTAGAATCCATAATCTTCTCTTGCCTGTTTGTCCACTTAATGCTGTATTGCTAGATTGATATATATTCTTTATGTTAAGTTTTATCTTAGATTGCACTAAAGCAAATAATATAATTCACAGGCCGACATAATCAGTGTTATATTAAGTGTCTAAAGTGGAAATGCTGCTGGAGTCCCAAACTTGGAATTTACATTTCTAATAAGCTGTTGTTAAAGGAACACTTTGAAAACACATCAGATCTCAATGGGGAAAAATATCAGCTGGATATCTACTGTATACTGGACTGGGTAATGTCTTAGGAAAGAAAGGATGCCACATTGTTTGATGGAAATTAAAAATTATCAACCAACAGAGGGCTGAACTCAAAGACACCTCAAAAATTAAAGTGAACAAATGATGCAGCAGGCTAGTCCATTGTGCTGACATTTAATTGCAGCAACTCAAAGTGGTACTCATTAATGTTTGTATGGATGCCTGACAATGTCGGGGCATGCTCCTAATGAGACGGATGGCGTCCTGGGGTATCTCCTCCCAGATCTGGACCAGGGCATAAGTGAGCTCCTGAACAGACTGAAGTGCAACCTGGCGGGGTCGGATGGACCGAGACATAATGTTCCAGAGGTGTTCTATTGGATTCAGGTCAGGTGAGCGTGGGGACCATTCAATGGTATCAATTCCTTCATCCTCAAGGAACTGGCTGCATACTCTCACCACATGAGGCTGGGCATTGTCATGCACCAGGAGGAACCCAAGACCCACTGCACCAGTGTGGGGTCTGACATGGGTCCAAGGATTTCATCCCGATACCTAATGGCAGTCAGGGAGCCATTGTCTAGTCTGTAGAGGTGTGTGCGTCCCTCCATGGGTATGCCTCCCCAGACCATCACTGACCCACCGCCAAACTGGTCATGCTGAACGATGTTACAGGCAGCATAACGTTCTCCACGGCTTCTCCAGACCCTTTCACGTCTCTGTCACATGTGCTCAAGGTGAACCTGCTCTCATCTGTGAAAAGCACAGGGCGCCAGTGGCGGACCTGCCAATTCTGGTGTTCAATGGCAAACGCCAATAGACCTCCACAGTGCCGGGCAGTGAGCACAGGGCCCACTAGAGTACGTCAGGCCCTCAGGCCACCCTCATGAAGTCCGTTTCACACTAGTGGCCTGCTGGAGTTCATTTTGTAGGGCTCTGGCAGTGCTCATCCTGTTCCTCCTTGCCCAAAGGAGCAGATACCGGTCCTGCTGATAAGTTAAGGACCTTCTACGGCCTTGTCCAGCTTTCCTAGAGTGACTGCTTGTGTCCTGGAATCTCATCCATGCTGTTGAGACTGTGCTGGGAGACACGGCAAACCTTCTGGCAGTGTCACGTATTTACAATGGGCTTTACAATGAAAACAATACCATCATGACCATAAAAACTTAGCAGTCTTCAGGTTTTGTCCTTTTACTGAGGTGGATGGAACGTTAGAGACCGGAAACTGATATTTTCTGTAACCCATCAATCTGTTATCACTCAAGTAAACACTATTTTTAATTTTTTTATTGTGTGTTATTTCACATTAGTGCCTGCGTTCCGGTCCAATGCGATCTGCAAAAAATGCTGCAAACACTATTTTTTGCAGATCGCACTGGACTGGAACGCAGGCAAAAATGTGCCCTTCGTTCGGGTGCCAGCAATCGCACTGCGGGTGGGGGGCGTGGCTGTGGTGCCATTGAGTTCAATGCACCGTTACGCCCCCTCCCGCCCCAAAAGTGAGCCAGCCAGGTTGCGTTCCAGAGGCCGAATGCACTGGAACGCATTCTTGATGCTGTGACTGGGCCCCAAAAGTTTTTTTAAGCCCTCTCAGATTTTTGCATATATCCACTGCTAGCAAACAGTAGATATATGTAAAACCATTTTAAAAAAAGTTACCAAACAGGTTTAAACTTACCTGTGTCTACACCACAAGCTCCCGTCCAAAGATCTAAAGATTTTGGGCGGCCGCAAAGGACCACGGGGCGGGCACATGCGCAGTACAGATCTTCAGCCGGGAGTCGAGGAGAGACACAGTGTAAGTCAATGCAGGCAGCCCAGCAGCGTGCACCCGCAAAGACTCCGTGGGGCACAGACGACACAGCAGTCAGCGCTGGATCAGAGACCGGCACCAGCGCTGGAGGGACTGCTGAAAACTACAGAAAAGAAGATGATCGGATCAAGAGGCATCATTTAATGTAAGTGCATTGGGGGGGGGGGGATTTTTTTGACTTTAATGTCACTTTAAAGTGATTGGACATTGGCAAATCAAAGCTGTAAGGACAGCCCTGTATAACCCAGACTGCCTCAGTCTTGCAGCAAGCAGTGCCTTCTTACAAAAGCAAATATTTAGAGGACTCCTGGACTGCAAGGTCCGAGCATGGGAGCCGAGAGTTTGGATCTTTTCCAGGGAAAAAAAACCGTGGACACAGCTGTGTCAAAAACTAGGCTCAAGTACTTCAAGCAATGAGAGGGTTCCAGTGTTGACTTCCAGAGATTCAGGACACATCCAAAGCACTGCAGGGTTTGCAACTTCCAATTATTTTGGACAACAAGGCTCCTGCCAACTGCTTTCTGAGGAGAAAGGTGTCTAAGTACTCAATTTTTTGTTCTGGCTGTTTTGGCTACCTCGGCTTCCTTGAGACCGGAGTAGAGCCAAAACAGGACAGTTTTGGTGTAGTACCTTGGTGTAGACCATAGATGCAGTGGACATGCAGAATGGAAGAGCAACTAATTTGGCCTAACAACTTAAGAAATGCTACTGTGCAGGTGAAACAACGCTTAACCAAACAATATACATCATAAAATGCACAGCTTCCAAGGCAAGCTCTAGTATATTTATATAGGAGTGCAGTGCATTTTATAATATATATTAATTGGTTAAGTATTGTTTTACCTGCACAGTAGCTTTAGTTAGAGTGCTAGGTATATTTATATAGGAGCACAGCGCACTTTAAAACATGGATTTATTGAATGAGCATTGTTTTACCTGCACAGAACCTTTAGTCAGGGTTTTAGGATTGTTCATATCTATACATTTTGTAGTGTTGTGTTTCCACAGCAAAATGCATGTGGAGCTGGTGAGCAGGAAACATAGCGGATGTACACAGAACATTCTTGTTGTCCACTGAGGCCCAGATATCACTTGGGTAAAGAGAGGTGATGACTGATTAAGTAGATTCCATACTGTTTTTTTGGACCCACAGGAACCAGTTGAGAATGTTCAGATCGAGAATAGGGTGACTTGCCCTTTTGCTTTGGGAACAGTGAAAAGGTTGGAATAGAACCCCTGAATTTCATCTGCTTCCGGAATGGGGATTATGACCCTTTGAGAAAAGAGATGATCTAGGTCAGCATAGAGATCTGTCTGTCTTTGAGGAGATCTTGGCAAGTTCAACAACAGGGAGTAAGGAGGGGCCACATGGGGTGAAAGTCCAGTTTGTAACCCTTGGTTATGATGCTCTGGACCCAGGCATTGAAAATGTTCATGACCCAGGAGACCGAGAAGGATGACAGATTTCTCCTCTTAATTGTAAAGTGGACTTGGTCCCGCATTTTGTGGGCTTATAGAGCCAGAACTAACAGGGAAATTGAGTCCCTGTTTTGGGTTTGGAGTCCTGAAAGGGACAAAAGTAACATGTCTTAAAGGAGGGAGAAGATTTGAAGACTTGGACTACTACTTCTGCCATAAGAAGATGCTCTTGCCCCCCACGACTTTCCGTAGCAAAATACACACATTCCGTACACTTCTTGTACTGCAGCTCCGCATACCAGCATGTAGGCAATAGGATTCGTCACATGTGAACAGACAGGGTACTCATCCTAGAGATTTGTTGAAAAGTCTCTACCAGGTCATCAATGCAATGCTGTAGGGCCAGAGGAAAAAAATTCTAGCTGCTTGAGATCGTCAGGATCTATCAAGATGGACCCATGGTCCCTAGCTATAGATTTAGACCATACAGAGAAGGTCTTCCACATGGCCATGGTGGCAACCGCAGGTTGCATAGCCAGTCCGGCATGGGTAAATTAGGCTTTAAAGCGGGCCTCTAACTTCTTGTTTAAGTGGTCCTTGAAAACAGGGACATTTTCTTTAGGTAATGTCAGTGTCCTATTCAAGCAAGATATAGCTGGTTCTACAACAAGAACGGCCATTTCAAAACATATTCAGATAGCTGCTGAGAGGTGCGGCAGAGGCTATGAGCAGCTTAATGAAACGTTCTAGAACAACATTTAAGCATATCATTACCTCAAATGGGGCACATTGGGATAAGCTGTACAATATGTTGCAGAGAAATTGGCATATACTTATGATGAATCCCCAGGTGGATAAACAATGTGGACCCCCGTCCACTTCTAACTGCCCAGTAAGCAAGAAATCTGAAAAACTATTTAGTGCGATCTGAATTCGCTTCCAATTTAATTTGGCTATGGATGCCTTGTAGGCAAAGTGGTTGACAGAGTCTTTACATTTTTCCCAGATCTTGTACCAACTGAGTCATAAAACATAGTGTATAGTTGTCTGCAGATTGGATAAGTAGTCCATAACTTAGGGAGACATGCTGGGGAATTCAATAAAGGCTTTGCAACACTTTTCTGGTGGTATGGACCTTTAAAATATCCTGTGTCAAATTAGAAAAAAAGCCCTGTTGCCAGTTTCGGTAGCTTTACCAACACATGCAACAGATGAAGGCAGTTCTTATTAGAGCCACTCTTAAAATGTTGTGCTATGGCTACACTAAATAAAAAAATAATTAATGTAGTTTGTAGGTACTAAAACTGGAGGTAATTAAGACTAATTCAAAGCTGGAGTAGAGAGAAAGGTAATGCACCTGTCTCTGTTTGCTGTGCATGGACACTGTGGCCTCAGTGCGCCTCTGCATGGCAAATATCGGTGCTTGTGCCAAATTCATTTTACCAACAGGTACATTATTCTGGGGCAAGAATCAATATTTTTATCATGACTGTATGCGTGGGACCAATCAAAAGCACACAAAACAAGAAACACAGTACAGAACAGAGAACTCTTCAATGGAAGATGATCTAAAGACCATCGGTATATATATAACTTTCATGGAAGGGGATGATAGCTAGAACCATCACTTCATTCTGACTAAAAGACAAGCACACACACAGTATAACCAGCAATGTGGGACGGCAAAACAAACAAAAAAAAGATACTTACGATCTAAGCATACAAGAATGGTATCCCTTTCCAACTGTGTGACATGAACAACATCTGTCTGTGGAGTATCTAAAGACAAGGCATAAACTGTTACTTACTAGTTTGGTATAAAGACCGAAAATTAGTATGCAATAATATCCTTCCCAGGAAAAAGCAGAAGTATAAATAAAAAAATATATGTACAAACCTGTTTCTGTGAACCATGAAGATGTGGAATTGGGATTCAGTGTCTCAAATTTCACAATCTGGTTAAAGTCCGTGCCCTTGCTGACACTCACACAAACTAAGGGAAACTCCTGCTCAGGTACCACCAGCATTTCCAAAACCATGAGTGGGCACGGCAATGGGAAGTCTATATGCTGTATACAAGACATACATAAAATACTGAGTATGCAAGAACACAATATGTATAATTAAACAGACAATGAGCCCTAAATCATATGCAACTGTTTTTACTTGCTAATTTCTAGATTTTTTTTAACAATTACAACATTGCAATAACAATGAAAAAAGCAGGGATATAAACTTACCCAGAGCAACCAAGTGAGTCACAGCAAAATTGTTTGCTATGATTGCTGACTAACTGCTATATTTTTCTTGTATGCTCTTTACCTTATTAAAAGGGCAATGTGTTTGCAAAACTATCACCAAGTAAACATATGCAAAAGAGATGAATGAAAAAGAAAAAGAAAAGTTATCCAAGGAAATCAAGTGACTTTATTCAATGGCAGTTTCCAAATATTTATTGTCTTTTTGCCTTTTTGGAAAACGTACAGGCTGTCAGACTTGATCATACATATAAAATGGCTGCTTCCTCAGTCCAGTGACTTGTCACAAGCCTTCAAAGGTTTATACATTTCTACTGACATGACCTAGGAATAACCTGCAGAAACATATGGTGTCTTAAAAAAAAGTGATCTTTATAAATTAATTCAGAAATTTAATGAAAATATATATTCAAGTTCAGCTCAGCCCAAACAATATTCTCATGATAGCAGCAGCATTCCTAGTAGAAACACTTCTATTTTTACAACATACAGTTGACAGCCAAGAAAAAACCTAAAGTACTTAAAGGAAGCCCGCACTGAAACATGCAGGGTGCCATTGGTAATCTACTTCTGAAAATGTTAGTTGCCCGTTTTTTTTGGGGCCTCAATACTTTCTGAATCACTGACCTGGAACACACATGCAATAAGAATTCAGAGTTAAAGTAGAACTATGGCCTCCCATAAAAAAACATGTGCGGAAGCAGTTGACTGAACATCTGAACTTAGTTTTCCTTTAGGCACCTTCCAAAATCTCACAAATACCTAATGTTTGAAGTGAAGTTTTATGCTGATCTTTCTAGCCAGAATAATATTGTGAAACTGAACAAACCATATTCTCAGCAGTTTTCAATGAAAAACAACCTAGTTTAACCTTATCCACATATACCAACCCACATAGAGTGTGGGGAGACTGGACAAAACAATGACTAACGCCTTTATCACCAGATGGTAATCAGAAGACATGGCATAAGTTTATGAAACAGTTTGGCAGAAAATGAATATGTATACGTATAGAGCAAACATTGTAGCATGAAAGTATGTTTAGCTCAAAAAAAAGGTTTACAGGAAGTGAAAATAAATAAGAAAAAATATATATTACGGTATGTGTTACCAAAAGATGACTCTGTGTCCACTGCCTTATGCTGCTTTGTTGGGAGCAGGGGTTTTGCCTATTTCGGCTTCTCAGGTTCCCAAGGCAGCCCCCCATCAAATTGATCAGGCACTGCCTAATCATTGAGGAGGAGTGGGAGGGGGTCAGAGTGATGCAGATGAGGAAGTTAAAGAATAAAATCAGAAAGTTATTAAAACAAAAGAAAGATGACATTTTAGAAATGTCAAGCAAGTATATCAAATAATTAAAATTATTTAGAACTAAGATGTAATGATAGAGGACTTTTTATGTCACACGGGTATAAGGTCATAGTCTTACATAATATATTGGGGGCAGGAGTATGGCTTTAATAAGGATTGAGGCCTTAGGCATTTGTGGCAGGAATGTTGAAAAAGAGAACTGTCGATTCCTATAACCTGTAAACAAAGAATAACACTTCTCTGGCAAGATGGGAAGGTTTTTTTAAAAAAAACTATAAAAAAAAAACATGAAAAGGAAGAAGCAAAACAGTTAGAAAAAAAAAAAAAAAGGAGAGAGAAGAGAGTAAAAGGGACTAGCAAATTCGGTTTACCAGTTAGAACGCAAACTGACAGCAAACCACCTGGAGCTAATGGACAGGACGGTGAACAGCAGGCTTTAATCTGCTGGCATGAGCGTTTTAGTCCTGCGGAGATGCACTGCATCCTTGATGGACTGCCAGACCCTCGTAAAGTCTCTACATTGTTTGCAAAGAAATTTAGAGTTATTCAGGCTAGTAGTGAGGCTGTAGACATGAAAGCTACTTCAATTAAAGCTGGTGTCTGGGGAAGAAAATCAGGAGGCCATTTTATTTCTATTTTCAGATGAGATGCTCTTCCCTGGAAGGGAAACAGATCAATTTATTTTTCAATGACTACTTGACACCGGCGCAACCTGTAGTGTCCTCAGGGTGGCTCAATTCTCCTCTATCTACCTCTCTAAACACAATACCCTTAGTTGGATTACCGGTAACAGGAAATAGTGTTGCTAAAAGAATCTAAGCCTATAAAATTGAGATTGGGTCAGGATACAGAAATTCTAACAAAGATTTTGGTATCTGATGATGTTCCAATAAATCTGTTAGATTATATTTTGTAATCAATGTTATCTTCCGTTGATTACACTTCTACTGGAGTGCAAGTAGTCTCCAAATTGTCTGATGAAGTCTTGGCACATATGTATGTTATTTTATACTTATAACTCCCACCACTCCTTCGTTTGCAAGTGATTTGTCTCAGGTACCAGAAGTTTTATGGGCCAAGGACAAATATGATGTAGGTCTACTGGATGTGCCTCCAGTACACTATACAATTAAAACCTGGCTCCACTCCTCCCAAGCTGAGACAATATCCACTGAACGTATCTCAGATGGATGCTATTAAAGTACAGTTGAAAAAATTGTTGCTTAATGTACCTGCCCTGCTAACACTCCTCTTTTTCCAGTTGGTACACAATCTGAAGGCAATCAACAAAATTACTGATGCAGGCACTCCAGTGGTGCCCAACCCCCACACCAATTGCATAAAAGAGGCAGTAACTTTTTGCTTTTACTTTCCAAGGAAAGCAATACATTTGGACCCTCCTTCCTCAAAGTTATGTGTCTAGACCATCTGAATATCGTTTGGCAATTAAATAAATTTTATACCTATGGACCCCTGTGAACCCTTCAACTCTTCTACTCTTCTACATTATATTATATAGGATTTATATAGCATCAACAGTTTGCACAGCGCTTTGCAATATAAGGAAGACATCACAATACAATTCAAAACAACATGGTAAGGAGGGCCCTGCCCCTGAGGGCTTACAATCTAAAAGGGAGGGAGAAGTGATACATGAGGGGGTAGCTGTGTGGGGATGAATTCTTTGAGAACATGATGGTTCAGTGGTTAGGTTGAGGTGGTACATAGATTACCTTAATCTGTGCTGACTAAGTTGATATATGCAGATAAGAGACTATCAGTCTGCTGTGTCGTTTAGCAGCTCATAAATGCAAAGCTAGCAAAGCAAAACTGCAATACTGCCAAACCAAATTTGTCTTTTTGGGTCATTGCATTTCACAAGGTACAGAACATTTTCTGCAGGATACAGAAGGAGTTACAACTTTTAACGTTTATGTCCACCTTTGTATGTGATTAGCATTTATTGTGGTAATGAAGAGGTGCAGTGATAATGTACACGTGTACATTTTCATGACTCACATTTTAGGCTTTCCTCGTTTTTTTAAATGAAACTTTTATTAAGCCTCAAGCCTAAAAACTCCAACTTTTCTACACAGGAAAATCAGTCTGACACCAGGGTCGGATGGTAATCGGGCTGTAAACAGCTCTTCCCCCTCCCTGTTATTAATTGTAACATGAATAGTAAACACCAGCTCTGCCTTTGAACACAATATACTGTCCGGGGGAAAGAGGGGGTGCCACTATGAATACTAATGAATGTGAGAGGTCAGAAAGCTTGCAAAACACAGAGGCAGATATTTCCATTAGGAGATGAAGAGGAAAGCTAATGGTAAAAAAAGTAAGTTTGTGTGTTCATATACAGCAGCTGCATATGCTTGTTTCATGTACAGTACACTCGTGCACATTGCTGGCATATATTAAAAAAAAAAAAAAAAACTGTACAAAAAAGTAGAAATGGGCTTTAAGCAGTTAAAGGGGTTATTAGGCCAGGTAGGGTATTACAGGGATGGGATTCTGAATGCCTCTAGTATCCTTGCACCACTCTACAAAGCCACTTCCCTGCAACCATTCCACTTCATAGCACAACACACCCACCTGGTCAAACTTCTGAATTAATTATTGTCAGCAGTCACAGCTCTATCAAGCCTTTCATCTTACACGGTCATGAAAATAGGGGACATGCTGCTGGTGTTCTCTACATCCCTTGACACTGCTCTTCTTGCATAAGAGCTGTAGCCTCCTGTTCTTCTAGAAAAAATTGCTGACATTGTTTTAAATTAACCTATTACTATTCAGGTCACACGTGCTGGTAACGAAATTTTGGAGCAAGTGAAAACAAAACATTTATCTCTTAGCTGCCTAACTAAATATGAGGTTGCCTTTCTCACCCATCCTAATCTCACTATTTAAAGGTGTACTGTTTTAAACCCAGCTACCCTTCTTCCTATAGAGGAAAATAAAGGGGGAGTAACAGACATAATGGAAATTACAGAAACTGATTTTGACACTCATGACTCTCTCCAGTTAAAGGAGAACTATGAGATGAGTGATTTCCACTGACCTCATAGTTCTAGCCGACCTGTGACAATGAGACTGTCACAGGTCGGCTCAGTAGATCGGGAGGTGAGCGAACACATACCGGGTTCGCTCACCTCTCGATCCTGTCACAGCTCTCTGCTGTGACAGGGGGAGGGGCTGGATTCCCCTCTCCCCGCTCCTATCTGCCAGCAATACACTAAAATGAGAATTTAGTTCACAGAAACAAAACATAATACTAATTTTTTTGGGTAAAATATAAAAGATAGGGCCATTTGGAGTAAATAGATAACCAAACATTTCAAGCCTTAAAATGTATTTTTTTTTACACTTAACTTTATTGCTATCACATATGGGGCTAACAAGCAATAATGTAATTGCAAAGCGGATGTGACAGGTCCTCTTTATGAGTAAAGGATGGACACCGGCACTCCAAAGCAAGTTCAGTACGTTTTTATTAACTT